CCCAGCTTAGCTTTATCAGTTTTGGACTCTGGGTTCTTGGCAACAAGTACTTATTTGAATTGAGCTTATTAATAAATTTCCTTTTTTTTTTTTTTTAATAGAAAGTCACGTATTGTTCCTGCTTGTTCTGACTGAATAGGTTTCACTTGTAAATTATAATCAAAAACTTAAAAACAGAATTGCCCTAGCTTAGCTTTTTTGGTTCATGGTATGAATTCTATAAAATGTTATTTTTAATTCCAAAAAAATAAAGCATGCTTTTTGTTAATAATAAAGGTATATAATCAGACTGAAATTTTGATTCTTAAGATTTTTATTGTGGCACCAGACAAAAGGCAATCTATGTAACTTCAGGAAAATAATTTTATTCTGAAGTATTCAGAACTATTTTTTTGGAAAGCTATTATATTTATTCATATATATGTTTACTTATAGTCCTAGGTGAGAATTTAATAATATTTCTTGGTAAAGATCCCTTATAAATAAAAACATCTTCAGCTCCTTTCTGCAGGGTGATAGATTTGTGGCTTTTTCCTCCCTCCTTAGGCAGCTGTGTCAAGTCTTCAGGAAATGGCACCAGGAACAACATTCAAACCCGTCATCGGTGATTCATCTGTGGATCCAAAAAAGTAATTTGATGTGTATCTCTGTTTTAACACTCAGCAGCAGAATTTTAATTGGTGGGTAAACAAGCTCATGTTAAGGAATGCAAAGTGACCCATGTCTCCTCTGCCCTAAGTCCATTAAGTCAGTGGGGTAGGAGTTAGAGGATGCATGGGAGAGTGAATTTTAGAGACGTGTTGCTGAAGAAGGCTTGCCAGGGCATCGCATGTGACCCAACCAATGACAGAGCCTCACTTCATTAGTGCAGCACTTAGATCTGTGTGGTCTTCCCTTTCATCTGACACAGTCCTCACTATAAGATGTTTCTCCCTCACCCACTGTCCCTTTTCTACCCAACAGCGTTAAGAGCCTCGTGTTCTGCTGTGGCAAACACTTCTACGCCCTGCTGAAGCAGAGAGAATCTTTGGAAGCTAGGAAGTATGAGTTTGCCATCATCCGCATAGAGGAGCTCTGCCCTTTCCCGCTGGACTCATTACAACAGGAGATGAGCAAGTACCAGCACGTTAAAGGTGAAGGGTTGTTAGGGTTCTTCGCTTTCCAGGTATCTGAAACCTATTTGAACTCTCTCAAAGGAAAAGAGGTTACAGGGGCAGTGAGAGTTATTAGGAAATTGGATCTCATAGAATCTGGAGATATGAAAATAACACTGCTAGGGCCAGTGTCTCTCTTTTTTGGTGTTTCCGTCAGTCTCCCCTCCTGTCATCTAAGACGTCTAATTTCTTGAGAGTTTGGAGGGAATCAATGCTATACTGTCATTTAAGATAAATCAACTATAACTGTAAAAGACAAGCCTTTTCAGCAAATGGGGCTAGAATAATTGGATGTCTTTATTTCTTTATTTACCTTGTATAGAAATTAACTCAAAATTGATCATAGACCTAAATGTAAAATGTAAAACTATAAAACTTCTAGAAGAAAATGGAATTGTGACCTTGGATTAGGCAAAAAGCTCTTAGATATAATACTAAAAGCACTTTCCATAAAAGAAAAATTAGACTTTACCAAAAAGGAAAACTTTGCACTGCAAAGAAAATAAAAAGATAAGCCAAATAGGGAGAAAATATTTGCAAATAGATATATGACAAAGGAGTATCCAGAATATTTAAAGAGCTTTTAAAATTCAACAGTAGGAAAACATATAATCTAATTTTTTAAAGAACTGAACAGGCACTTTACCCAAGAACCAGGTGGCAAATAACCATATGAAAAGATCAGCAACATAATTAGTGATAAGAGAAATACAAATGAAGCCAAATTGAGATACGGCTACGTAGCTGAGTGGCTAAAATGAAAATGAGTCTGCGGCCATGCCACTCTGAACAAGCCCGATCCTGTCTGATCTTGGAAGCTAAGTAGGGTCGGGCCTGGTTAGTACTTGGATGGAAGACCACCTAGTAAGACCAGGTACTGTAGGCATAAAAAATAAGGGATTGTAAACTGACAAGGTCCTTGCAATCTGTGAGGTCAACCAAGGGTTGCCTTCCTTAAAATAAACAAACAAATAAAATGAAAACGAAACAACAAATTGACAATATCAAATGCTGGTGAGGATGTGGAGCAGCTGTAACCCTCATTCACTGCTGGTGGGAACGCAAGCTGGCACTGCCACGCTGGAACACAGTTTGTCAGCGCCTTTCCCAGTTACACGTAGTTACCACACCACCCAACAGCCCCACTCTTAGGTGTTTACCCACAAGAATGGAAAACATGTTCACAGGAAAATCTGCATGTGAAGTTTATAGAAGCCTTATTTATAATTACCCCAAGCTGGAAACAACCAAAATGTCCTTCCACTGGTGGGGGAATAAACAACCTGTGGTCCACCCACACAGTATCATACCGCTCAGCCGTAAAAGAGAGTGAACTATTGCTACAGGCAAAATCACAAATGGATTTTGCTAATTCAAGGAAGACAGACCCAAAAGGCTACATGCTGTATACTTCCATTTAACTGACATTCTGAAAAAGGCAAAGCCGTAGGGGTAGAGAAAATGTCAGTAGTAGCCAGAGGTTGGGATGGGAGCAGGAGCTGAGTGCAAAGGGAAAAGATGAGGGAAATTTTTGTGTGGATAGAATGGTTCTGTATCGTGATTGTGGAGGTAGATACATGACTGCATTTGTTAAATAAATAAGACAACACTGTGCCATCTTGGAAGGGGATGTGTGTGTGTGTGTGTGTGTGTGTGTGTGTGTGTGTGTTTATTTGCAGTACTGACATAAACTTTCTTTTGTAGATTTTATTTGGAGTCAGGAAGAACCTCAGAACATGGGTCCATGGTGTTTCGTTTCTCCAAGGTTTGAAAAGCAACTGGCCTGCAAGGTAATAGCTCTGTCTCTCTTGTAGTGTTTTGTGTGTCTGTGTGCCTTGTTTCTCCTGGGGTGCCAACAAATGGGGTGATCTCCTATTATTAGTCCAGTTCTTTTAAGGATAAGCTAAAATATAAATGTAGTTTGAAGCTATTCTTTCAGAATAAAATGCTGAGTGTTTATCGAGCTTTCTATGTGTTTGTACTAGTGTCATGTAAAAAAAAAAAAAAGTGATTATACTTTCCTAAAGGTCATCATCCAAGCTATAGGGGAACAGGGTGCTGAGCAGACTCATTTTACAATGTGGGAGTAGAGACACCCAGTGATACTTGTTCCAGGCCCATCCACACAGCTGGTATCATCAAAAGCCAAATTCTTCTTGATTGTGCTATAGGAAGTAAAAAACGAGAAGAGCAGTTGTGCTTCTGTTTTATCTTTCTGTTCTGCTTTGATTAGAACTAGTTCCCTCATTCGATACTAGTTTGCTGGGCCCAATCATTTCCATATGGTAAATAGTTCTAATTTAGAGAACTCTACAGCTAAAACCAACTAATAGTTACTAAAGATTAAGACAAATTCAAGAATTTATCTTACCTTATTATCATACCTTATATGGAATTTAGCTAGTTTTTAGTTGTGACATATATTTCCCTCCAATCTATTCTATGGAATTCATTATTTTGGCAAAAAGGTGACTTATGATAATCAAGCTGAGAGAAATACATGTACCTCCTCTGTGAACTAAGCAGAGCTTCGATTGGGTGACAATGTCATTTTATTTTTTCATTGCTCCAATGACAGCTCCGCCTTGTGAGCCGACCCCCTTTGCCAGCACCCGCTGTAGGAATTGGCACCATTCACCAGCAGCAGCATGAAGATGTCCTCACCAAGACCTTTGCTTGATGATGTTTTTTGAAGACATACAACTTCCTATTAAGAAAAGTGCCGTAAAAAATAAAAGGCATCTACTCTCTTCTTCCATTAAGTAACATGAGAAGCTAAGATGTTGAGACCGTTGAGGACAGTTTAATCTGGAATGTGTGGAATAGCCTTGGGAATCAATACATGAATCCAGCAAGTAATTTTTATCCTTAGAAGTACAGTTGTGTTATATTTTGGTTAGAGCTGAGTGAGTTATAGAGCTAGGTTGTTATCCAAATTTTTTCAGACTCCACTCTCATCAATTGTACATGCACAGGAAAGTTCTTTAGGCTGACTTCATAGCTACATGTAGATTACATCATCATTACCTCTCCGTTTGTTTGATGGATGCTACTTTCATTAATTTCCTCTTCATTATTCAAAGTCCAGTATTTAATTTACATCA